GGAGGGTGGGATTTCGATCTTCTAAAAAGCTAAGTCTTTGTTTGATTGCCGAGAGCGACGAGTTCTATCGCGCCGAAGGAACCGAAAGCGTATTGCAAGTGCTCAAGCTGCAAATACTTGAGTACCGAGAGGTCGGTTAGGTCGCCGAAAGAGAAAGGGGGGGCCCGTGGCCGTGCGAGGGCGGTTTTGAAGAGGGGCCGAAAGGAGCCGAAGGACGAAGAGAATCCGTAGGACGGGCCGGGAGAAAAACCAAAAGGACCGGAAGAACCGAAGAGCCGAAAAGCCGAAAAACCGAAGGCCGGAAGGAAGGAAAAAGGAACCCGTAAAAACGAACCGAAAAGCTAGGAAGGCCGAGAGAGCCGGAAAAGCGTTCAGGTTGCTGAATGACGTGCGCGTACTCGGTATACGTTAAGGAGCGTCAATTTGGCTGTTTGAGCGAGTCCGTATAGTTGAGTTCAAATTGATTGAATGAGGACCGGGAGCCGTATCGGGGTACCGTAAACGTAATTGAGTTGAGTAGTGGGTCCGCCAAGAGCTTTACCGCCGATAAGGAGCTGGGCCGTGAGAGAGGGGAGCCTAGCATCTTATCGCTGAACCGTACCGTAAGCGAAAGCTAGCTGGTCCGAGAATACCGATATTATAATTGAATTCCGAACTTCCGAAGTCTTGAGCTGAAGCGTTGAAAAAAGGACCGTATTATTGAACTTATCGGGATCCGAAAAGAGAACGCATTGCGCTAGCGAAAGGCCGTTCGTAATTGCTCTACGAGAGATTCCAATTGAGCGATTCTCGTAAGGGGGGAAGGGCCGTCGTCTTCGTGAGAGGACATGGTGGTGGAATAAGGAGGGAGGAGGCGTTTGAGTGTCGGAAACGCCAGGAAAAAGAGTGGGGAAGAGAGTTCGTCTTGCAACCGAAGTGCAAAAATTGAAAGGAGCTCTTTTAGGTCGGAAGAGCTGAGGAAAAGGTGAGGTCGTAAAAAAGACAATAATCTGTAAGCAATAAATAAAGACCGTGGAGCACCCAATAAGTAACTCACTCCGTTCTTGACAATAATCAATAAGCAATAATCTGTAACAATAATCAATAAGCTGTAATACGACGACCTAATCGAAGGACTTTGTATAATGTGACGAACTGATGAATTCTGACCTTAGAATACAAAGTGAGGAGAGGAAAACAGGAAGCTCAGGAGAGCTCAGGAAGGTCTATATACATGGCCACAAGCGCTAGGCCTGAATGGGTGATCAGCTGATTGCAGGTAACAAGGCAGGCTGTCACATTAACATTATATTTTCGTTAAAGTGAAACTA